CACAAAACATCCATCAAATACATCTGACCGTGATGTCAGCACAGGTCCTGTGAGCACAGGATGCTCTCCAGGGCTCTTTTTACATAATCACAGCATCCCAGAATGATTTGGATGGGAAGACACTTTAAAACTCATCTCATCCCACCCCCTGCCATGGCAGGGACACTTTCCACTGTCCCAGGTTGCTCCGAGCCTCATCCAACCTGGCCTTGGACACTCCCAGGAATCCAGGTTACAGCTACAGTTCCAGGATTATGGAGTAGCTGCCTTCTCTCCAGATGGAAAACACCTGATACTTCATTCAAACACTCATCCCCATCTCTCAAAGTACAGCTTGATTCCACAGAAGGCTCACAAAGCAACTCTTGAAAGAGTTCAATCTAAAGACTGCAGGGATTTAAAGACAGACAGAAAATGTCAGCTATTTTCTATAGCCCATTCTCAACTGCACAATTTATAATTGCTCCTCATCGGGGAGTGAGCTCATGGGTGAAGCTGCTGCTACTCTCTTCAGACAAAGAGCTGCCATCTGACAGGTCTCAGCTATTTTGGCAGGAAATATGATTCATTTTTTTGTCGCAGGCATGCAGCTAGGTGCAAATTATAAGCCCAATTCTTACATAAGTACCATCATTTGCTAAAATTACTGCTTATTCTCCTTCTAAGAAAACCTGATCCTGCCATTCATCTCCTGTCTCGCCACATGAAGGAAGGTGCACCTTGGAGAAGGGATGTGCCCCTCATCCAAAAATAATTTTCTCTAGAGCTATGACCAACCAGGGAATGTAAAGTACACTCCTACAGCATCCTGCTGGATTTGGGGGCTCTCTTAGCTTGCCTGGAGCCTCCCACCAGAGATATAAAAGTATTCCAGCATGAGCTGCAGCCTTGTGTTTCACCGAGCCATCTGCAGCTCTGCAGACCATGCCCAGATCTTTGTCTCTGTCACCTCACATGGCTTTGCTGGACATCACAGCAACTGGAGAGACCCCAGTGCTCCCAGGTCAGCCAGCGTGGATCTACCTGGATCCATGGAACTGTTCTGTTACACTGACAAACAGCTCATTTCCAAGTCTGCCACTGCCCCACTGGCAAAATCCCATCTCCTGAGACAGCACATTGCAGCTCTACCTGACCTCGAGATCTATAGATAGAGCTTGTCTGCTTCCCATGGCTTTTTTATCTCTTCCAAATGCTGACTTCTGCTTTTTAACCACCATCCCAATGCACCAGCAGTACCTTGCCTCATTTTAAGAGTTCAGGACAGGTGCTTATCCCTGTGTCACCACTGAGAGAATACCTGGAGCTGTGCCAGGGGAGGTTTGGGTTGGATCTCAGGGAAAGGTTCTTCCTCCAGAGGGTGCTGGGCACTGCCCAGGGAATGGGCACGGCCCCAAGGCTCCCGGAGCTCCAGGAGCTACCAGGGATGCCCAGGGTGGGATTGTTGGGGGGTCTGGATAGGGCCAGAAGCTGGACTGGTTGATCCCTGTAGGTCTCTTCCAATTCAGGAGAACATGTGATTAATATTATCAGTTTATCAATGTGAATAATTAACATTTTCCCTCCTAGATCCACCACAGGAAGTGTATGCCCTACTGTCACAAGAAAATCTTGACAATTACTTTCTGGTCCCCTTTTATAAGATGCTAAAGTGCACATTTCTCCCAAGTTCTACTCTACTATTTTTGAAGACCTGTATCTGTTTTATTTTGAATTCCATTAATTCCAGCTGGACACACAGTTCAGCTGGAACTGACTCGGTTGTTGATAAAACAGAGTAAAAACTAGAACTGTCCAACTGTTTAATTAATATCTGCTACTATTTCCTAGCTGCTGCTTCTGGCAGGAGCGTGGCTTGTCTCACCTTCAGAGAGACAGGGAGTCCTGCTGTGCGTGTCTATCACAGAATGCACAGGATCATGGAATGGTTTTGGGCTGGCAGGGACATTAAAGCCTATCCCACTCCACCCCTCCCAGGGCAGGGACACCTTCCACTGTCCCAGGCTGCTCCCAGCCCTGTCCAGCCTGGCCTTGGCATTGCCAGGGATCCAGAGGCAGCCACAGCTTCCCTGGGAATTCCATCCCAGGGCCTCCCCACCCTTACAGGGAGGAATTCCTTCCCAATCTCCCATCCATCCCTGCCCTCTGGCAGCCTGAAGCCGCTCCCCCTTGTCCATCACTCCATGCCCTGGCCCGGAGCCTTAAACCCCGTCCCGCTTTGGGACCCAGCTCCTCCTTTCCTTCTCGCCCTGCGGTTTGCGTTCAGCTCTCCTATTCTCGGTGCTTCTTTCCTCCTCTCGCGCCCATTATTCACATCCTCCCGCATTATTCACATCCTCCCGCACGGTTTATTCCGCCTCACACCTCAGCCCGGCACCGGGAGCAGCGCGGGGCTCCCGTCCGCTCCCGCCGCGACGCGCGCCGGGTGCCGCCCCACACTTTGGACCCTCCTCGCCTCCCGTCCACCCCAGGGGAGCGACCGAGCTTCACCCGGAGGAGGCGGTGGCGGGACGCGAGCCCTGAGGCGGCCGAGCCGCTTCCTCCTCCTCCTCCTCTTCCTCCTCCTCCTCTTCCTCCCCCCCCCACCAAGATGGCGGCGGACCCCGCGGATCAGTTCTGCGTGGCCGAGGAGCGCAGCGGCCACTGCGCCGTGGTGGACGGCAACTTTCTCTACGTGTGGGGAGGATACGTGGTAAGGCGGGCGGGGGAGCCGGGAAGGACCGGCGGGAGCGGCGGGAGCGGCGGGAGCGGGCTCCGGGCGCGGGCAGCGGGGCGGGGGGGGTTCTCCGCCGGCCCTCAGCCCTCGGCGGGCCCCCGGGGCTGTGGCGCAGGCGCTGATTGGCTGCGGCGGCCGCGCGCCGTTCGAATGGCGGCGGGAGGGAGGCGCTGAGGGGACGGCGCTGAGGGGACAACACTGAGGCCATGGCGCTAAGGGGACAGCACTGAGGCCATGGCGCTGAGGGGACGGCGCTGAGGGGACAGCACTGAGGCCATGGCGCTGAGGGGACAACACTGAGGCCATGGCGCTGAGGGGACGGCGCTGAGGGGATAACACTGAGGCCATGGCGCTGAGGGGACAGCACTGAGGGCATGGCGCTGAGGGGACGGCGCTGAAGGGACAGCACTGAGGCCATGGCGCTGAGGGGACGGTGCTGAAGGGACAGCACTGAGGCCATGGCGCTGAGGGGACGGCGCTGAGGGGACAGCACTGAGGCCATGGCGCTGAGGGGACGGCGCTGAGGGGACAACACTGAGGCCATGGCGCTGAGGGGACAGCACTGAGGCCATGGCGCTGAGGGGACGGCGCTGAGGGGATAATACTGAGGCCATGGCGCTGAGGGGACAGCACTGAGGCCATGGTGCTGAGGGGACGGCGCTGAGGGGACAGCACTGAGGCCATGGCGCTGAGGGGAAAGCACTGAGGCCATGGCGCTGAGGGGACAACAGTGATGGCATGGCGCTGAGGGGAAAGCACTGAGGCCATGGCGCTGAGGGGACAGTGCTGAGGGGACAGCACTGAGGCCATGGCGCTGAGGGGACAACACTGAGGGGACAACACTGAGGGCATGGCGCTGAGGGGACAGCACTGAGGGGACAACACTGAGGCCATGGCGCTGAGGGGACAGCGCTGAGGCCATGGCGCTGAGGGGAAGGCACTGAGGGCACGGCGCTGAGGGGACAACAGTGGTGCTGAGGAGAGAACACAGAAGGGATGGCGCTGAAGGGATGGCGGGGCCGCTCCGATCCCCTTGTCCCGCCGCCCCTTCCTGCGCGGTCGGCGCCCTCCTCCTGCCCCGCTCGCAGCCGCCTCCGTCGCGGAGCCCGTGTGGGGAAGGGCTGGCGGAGCCGGTTCGCTCCCGGCCCCTTCCAGCGCGCCCTTCCTTCGCTCCTCCGCGCCTCTCCCTTCAAGCCTCGGCTCTGTCATTTGTGGCTCAGTTTTTCCAGGGCGTAATTCGTGTTCTCGCTGCCTCGTCCCCGTGTTTTTTATTTATTAGTAGTTGCGTGATGCTTACAGCATGTTTTCCTCCCGTAGAAAGCGCTGCTGTCGCCTCAAAAACAAGCTGATGGCAGGCTGAAACCCACCCACAATTTTAATTTTTTTTTTCCTAAAAAAACACTTTTGGTTCTATCATAAGTAAATCC